AATGAGCAATATATTATTTTGACAAATTCAAGATTCGAGCTTTCTTACCTTGAGCACATGAACTCCAACAATCCTCATATAAATTCGCATAATCTATAGGAGTGCCCGAAATTGGGTTTTCCCTCTCTCCACGAATTATCGATCCAATTAAGGATTGTGGATCCGTTGTGCGGTCAGAGAATGGAACACGTCCACTGGATATCTCCCAAAGCAAGACGCCAATGCCATAAACTTCAGAAGCTTCGCCATAAGCGTGTCCATCATAACGCAGCGGATCGATATAAGGAATAACTCCGTAAACTCCATGAGATGAATCCGTGTCATCATACGATTTTGATAAGCCAAAGTCGCACAGAATTGGCTTTCCGTCGTGAATTAGCACATTCTTCGAATGCTATTACGATTTTTTTTGTAACAAAATAATATAAATTAGAACACGGCTTTCGAATGTTGAATCTAATATACTAACCAGATCACGATGCAATATGCCATGCCGATGGACGAATTCCAATGCTTCAACTATTCCAATGGCCAAATTGATCCTTTCATCCCACGTCATACTTTCATGATTAGCCTTCAGATACTCTCTTGGATTTCCTCCATTCGCGTATTGCATTATCATGACATAATTATCACATGGGTCTGCAGGAGACTGAATTTAATAATCATGGTTCACCATTCCACACACACCGAACATACAGTACTTACCTCGAGTTAAACCAAAGAATTGTATAACATAAGGATTCTTCTTAACACACACATTTTTCATCGCATTCAGCTAAAATTTTAAACCAATACAGTATTAGTCTTTGTATAAATGACGCACCGATTGAATTTAATATTGATTTTTTTTGTCTGAACAAGATTAATTTGTTTTTGACCTCACGCCTAAATTCTCGCTTTCGTCGTTCGTCTAATCTATTAGTGATGCGTTTCAGAGCGACCTTTTCTCCTGTCCTTTTCCAATGAGCATGAAACACATCACCATATCCACCGCTCGCAACATATGTGATATCTTCAAACTCGTCATATTCGAAATCAATCGTAATTTCTTCTGATGATTTATGGTTCAAAAATATGGCATTATCACTTATTTCGAGCAACGACGGTTGTTGAACTGCAACCGCCATTATCTTGATTTTTTAATGGTATCAAAGTGAAAGAACTTGGCACGTTTATAGTGAAGTGTGGATGCATACAGAATTCGAAAGTAGAATTCGAAAATGGAATAGCATGCAGGCACTTGCCTACTAATTTAACCCTGAAAACCGAAGTTTGTTCCAAAAGAGGCATTATCACTTAGGTATCTTGAGCAACGACGGTTGTTTGTGATTTTTTTAAATAATACCAAAATGAAAGAATTTGATTCAAACAGTGAAGCATGGAATTCGGGCATCGAATTCGAAGTGGAACAGTGCGCGCACACTTACTAATTTAACGGATAGTGGGCGTTATCTTTTTCGAGCGATGAATTTTTAAAATGATTTTGACTCTTACGGTGAAGTATGCATGCATGTAATTCAAAAATGGAATAGTGCACACGACTTGCTGTTTGTCCCGAAGCATATACGTACTGTATTAATCAACGAATTTATTATTTTTTTATACTATTTTTCTGATCATTTCAATTTTCACTGTAAAGTATGTAAAGAAAAAATGCATATGTTATAATATAATAATGTAGAGCTTATGCACATTAGCGATTTAAATCTTTCATGCAGTGCAGAAATTTTAAAAGGAAGTAAATCGAAAATTTGTAGGTAGGTAGGTGCGTGCATACATTCAGAATCATTAAAAAAAAAAAGAAATCATTTTGATGGCTTTTCGTTTTTTACACAGTATATTTTTATTTATTTATTTATTCCATTAATTTTAATGCGTAGGCAAATAGAATAAGAAAAAAAAAATCGTTCGATATTTAATAAAACCCTAGATACTGTATATACTTTATAACTGTCCTCAACTAATTAGAATCGTTCGATTCAATCATCACAAATTCGTCTTCACTATTTGATTTCTCTTCGTCAAAATTAATTCTTTCCTCATTGGAAACTTCCTGATTTACGTGTTCAGCGAACGAAGATGAAAAATCGGTATTGCTATTTTCTTCCATAAAGGGTTCATCGACATCCATACTTCCATTCATACTTGTGGGAATAACATCCATTTCTATGTCCTTGGCTGTATCGCCTCTTGAGATATCATCATTTTGGACGATTTTCTTTATTTCGTCTGCTTCTGATATAACGTATGGTATTATTTCGGTTTCCTCGTGGCTTTCCAGAGGTGACTGGTTTATGTCGTTTTCAACATCATCCACTTCAATATCTTCCGAAACTACAGTTTCGCTCTTTTCCTCTTCACCTTTCCCCTCTCCTATTATTATGTTATCTTCTGTCATCCTCTTCTCGACCGTCGTATTATTATCGGACACATTGTTCCCTATCGTGATATTCTCATCAGTAACCATGTCACTCTTTCCGACCTTTCTCTTAAGTTCCTTCCATTGATTCTCTCTCTCCCTGTCCAACCGGTTCAAAATTCCTTGAGCCAACGTTACAACCTCTTTCCTTCTCTCTCTAACAATTTCACATCCGTTGCTATCAATTCCGTCCAATTTATCAAAAGTCCTCATAACAGTATCCTCGTATTCAAGGAATTTCTTATTGCTCTTGGACGTGGGTAATACTTGTGGCGTCTCTTGTTCGGTGTCAAACGTTAACTCCACTTGATCATTCTGTGACTCCAAATTGATTAAATGATTTTGTATTTTTCGCAGTTGCAATAGTTTGGAAAGAACGTTTCTGGTTTTGTGATTAGCAGTATTGTTCCTCAGGAATTTATAAATCTTTTTAGATGCCTGCTTTTTATCGAGCACCGCGGTTTTAGGGCTAACTTTTACGAAGTTGTCGGAAGTTTCGGACGGAACTGTGATTGGTATCGACCGCGATTTCTTTGGATTCTGTGTCGCCGACCTCTTCTTTAACTCGTCACCTTGATTTTGGAATTTACGTCCCTGAGGTCTTCGACTCATCCTATCAAAGTCGAAATAATTCGGTTGAACACCGAACAAGCTCTCGGGACCAAACCAGGATTCATCATGACGATAATTGTTTCTATTATGAAAAGGGTTTTGATAATATTGTTGACGACGATATTGGTCCCCTCCGTTGTTCCTATAATAGCCACGATCGTCGCAGGGTGAGAAATACGAATCGGAGCATGGATGAGAGTGTGATGAATATGGGTTGGAGTGATAAGAACAGGGAGGTTGATTATCGTAACGACACCTCGAGAATTGGGAACGAGGACGAGGTTGATAGGTAATATATTCTGGTGATTCGGGATAAAAGGTAAACATTTTTTATGTTTATCAAACCAATTTCTGTTTGTCTTATGTTCTATGTATTTCTTCTAAGTTGTCTTTTTTCCTTTGCAAAGATCAAAAAATCATTATTTTTATAGACTTTCACAGGATTCGTCAAATTATTCTACAATTTTCCAGAACTTTATTATTACTAATTTCTGGTGATTTCCATTTATTTAGCGAATGATCACATGAGAGCGTTATTTGCGTTACGTATTTATCGCACTATATTTAGAAAGTATTACGTATGAAGTGGGCTACGGCGAGTCAGTTGCTAACCCGTGACGGCTCACTGTGAGATAGGGCAAAGAGCATACAGGATTACAGGATCAAAAGATCGATCCAGGCTGTGCGAATCAACGTTAATCTCGCTGCCGATAAATAAGTTCGAACTCAAGTTTCATAGTTAATCATTCGCATTTTTTCATTCCCACCAATAAGTAAGTAGTATGCTTCATATACTATCTGCATTACCCAATGTTAAAGGTATCGGTGAATTTTCATTAGCCCTAGTAACACTTCTAGATAACGAGTTGCGTAATGAGACACACGCCCTTGATATAGTGGAAAACAACCAAAAGTATTGATATAGACTCAAAACGGAAAATTATTTTACTTGAGATACCAAATTTATTAAATATCTTGTATGACGGAATTTTATTTATACTTAGAATACAAAAAAAAAAATGAATATTCTACATTTTACATAAGATAATCTACATTTACAGTATGTTAGGGTGTAAAGAAAGAACAATATTATACATCTGATTATTATTATTATTCTTGTGTCTATTGTTGTTTATGATGTTTCCTCGAGATTTAAATCGGAGGATCCTTCAACAATTTCCCCCAGTTCTTTTTGTTTAGCCTTTTCGCGATAAGAGCTCAGAACCAGATTAGTCCACTCGAAGAGTGAAAATCTCTTCGTGGGCGCATTATTGACTTTATAATTTTCAATACTGGAAATAGAATTTTTTCGCGTGGAAAAGCCATGTTCCTGGAAATCTAAATAAATCGGCCCGTTTTGATCAGGTTGATATTTGTCAACAGTTTCGGCATCAACGGTTACGGCATAGGACATGAGCACAAAGAAAAAGCTTTGGAAGAAGAGCTGGACCGTAGCTTCGTCGTAATTAACGAGAACAGTGTGGTTCACAGTTGAGACGATTAACCCGGTCACATTCTGTCCAAAGGCTACAAGTAAACGGATGAAATTCCAGCGCATGATTGATGTAAATGCGGCAAGCTTTAACTTTCCATCTACGGAAGATTCGATTTGCACTGCATCTTTATTCACTTTTCTGAGTATCAAGAACAATCGGATCGCGAAGTAGGTTTCGATCGCAAAGTCTGCGGCGCTAATGGATATCTTTGGTATGAATGTAATGTCGGAATTGTATGTGCAAATATTCACCGACTTTAGATACGTATAAGGAGAAGGAATGGTTTTCATTTCGGGACTGAGGAATGCCATGTAAATGATCTATTATTTTCATAGCATAAAAATTTATTAATCATCTCCTGTAAAATTATTTGGAATATGCAGTAAGTGTACTTACGTGGGCCGCAGTTCTCACAATTATTAGCATAAGACTTATTGGTTCGTCATATCTTGTTGTTTCGATTCGTTTTAGTCTCCATAATAAAAATATTCCCAAGGATGCCCCGTAGACCAAACTAACTATACTCGTAATGTACAATACGCTTTTGCATCCAAGTGAGGTTACGTCACTAGGGACGGCGGCGGAGGCAAAGCTACATATAGATATAAGTGCTCCACTAAAGTTAAAGATCAGTTTTATGGTGCTCGATTCACTTTCTTCATTAAATTTGCTTAGCGTAGAAATAAAAAAATTATGAAGGTGTGCCTGCATCAAACAGATTAGAATTGTGAATAATAATGATAATAAACAATCCGTAAGAACACCTTTACTTACCATTAACACCACGCCATACATCCACACGGTAAGAAACCAAGATTGTTCGAGTTCTAACATTTTAAATGGCAAACGAGGCTTACAAGATATGGTCGTCGAATTTCGATCTAATCGACAGAACTTTGGGATCTTTATTTATTCTTAATCAGGTTTTCAGACAGCCAAAAAAGGTGAAACGGTTAAACGGTTCGTTTCGAAAATAATATTAAAGACTTCTATTGTTCGCACCCAATAATATCAAATTTATGTTTAAGGATGTTCATTGTTCTATTGCAAGTACCGTATATGATATGATATTGTACCGAATTTCGTGCTGACTAAAATTACTTTATTCGTGTAACAATTATATTAATTTCCTTTGTAGAGAAATACCGGGAAAATCCTGCATCGTGTACTCTTTGTGCATAACATCATGACATCATATTTTCACACGTTTATATTGGCCAACTCCACACTTAATTATTGTCAATCTTGTTTGATTCTGCTGTAGCTACGAAACAAATGTACTTGGGAGATTTATTTCTCTGTAAGTAAATAATTAATGAATTTAATGGCGTTGCAACTTTCGAATAGTTTGGCGGGTATGTGCTTCTGGTAGATGGGTCGTTATGTTAGAACAAACGGTAGACTAAGCGTGCACAGTGACAACTACTTTGCTTTATAATACCACGACAGATGTTACACGGTGTCTGGATTGCAATGTCCTGTGCTAAAGAATGGTAGACGGCGTAAATTCTCAATGTGCCAATAGCCGAGTAATTTATTCGTGAATACGGAAAATTCTTTTCCATAGAATCTAGTCATAAAAATAAAAGAAGTTAAACATTATCTTCTAATTATTAAAACGGATATAATTTGTTTCTTTTTAAAAAGATAATTAACCATCGAAATTAATTCAACGATTTAAATGCAGTATAGTAAATACCTTATACATCGTTTATCATTTTGAAAGTAGCATTCAATTTCATTTAAAGTATTCACAGTATATCAAATAGAAGGCCTGATAATTTATTAATTGATTGATCGATATTTGTTTTGTTATAATAGTTTGTCTTTTTTGGAAAACCAATTTTTTAATTATTTAAATTATGAATTCTTGATTCATTTAATCGAATTAATGGTATACTATCTTTAAAAATTTTTATTATTATTAACTTTAAAAAATTTTTATTATTAGCAATTTAAATTGGTTATTGATTAAATTTTATTTCTTTAAGTTTCTTTTAAAAAAAATCCGTTTTGTAATAATTTTAAACTATACCTGAAACTCAATTATATTTAAAGATCCAAAACAAAATTTCAAAGAATATTTTGAAAGTTTGCAAAAAATTTAAATGTCAAATTTGATTCTGAAATGTTTTAAAATATAAAAAACAAAGTTTCAATTTCATTAATTATAAAATATACAGTATTATTAATTATAATATTATTTTTTTTTCATTTCAATATATATAATTATAATAAAAAATATAAATTTTTTTGTATTTACAAAAGTTTTATATTTGTAAAAATAAATTTCTTATTGAACTTATAATTTAGAATTATATTAAAAATTATATTTAAAAAGATTTTATTATAATCATTATAAATCATTAATTAAATTAAAAAAATACAAAACTTTAATATTTATTTTTTCTTTTTATATTTTTTATCATTTATTTCAATTTTTTAAAAAAATACTTTCTATTAATTTTTTAATCTCATATAAAAAAGATGTTTATATAAGTCTTTTAATTTTTTGATTAATAAATTACTATGTTTGAAACAATTTAAAAAGTTTTTTTAATAATTTTTACTATTTTTTTATTTTTATTTTCAAAAAATATTAACTTTAATAATAAAAAAAGTTATATGATATTTGTTATAATCAATAATAAAAAAGTTTTAAAAAATAAAATAAAGTAATTGTAAAGTGCTTAAAGATTATTTTACTCTTTTAATAAACTATTATAAAAATTTTTTGTAATAAAAAAATTGTTATTTTCTTATATTAATTCTTTTAATTCTTTTAAAACTTATACTTTTATAAATTTCTAAAAAAATTTATCTATCTTATTTTGATTTTAAACTTTTAAATTATATAATTCTTATTTAAAATAATTAACTAATATAGAATACTTAATTTTTTAAAATATAAATATTTATTTATTTATTAATTATAATTACTTATTTTGATAATATTATAAAAGTTTAAAAAATTATAAAATAATTTTTTTAATCAAATAAGTTTTTAATAAAAAAATTTATAATACTAAAAAATAATTTATATATATATTCTAATATATTTTAATATTTATGGTTGCTTTCAAAAGTTTGAGTCCACTTACTATATTTTTATTATAAATTTTAATTTTGACAATTTTTAAATTATTAACTATACAGTCAAAAATTATAAAAATTATATACAGTATATTATGTCTTAATACTTATTCTATTTCTTATATTTTTTTAAAAAAATTTTTATTAATATATTTTAAAGTTTTAT